GGGGCTCCGGCACACAATTGCTTACCCTCGGACACATGGTGGTCATGGATCGCCATCAGGGGTTCAGACACTCAATCACTGAGCATAGCAGTCGTGCATGACCATCCGGTACCCGTTTCAAGTGACTCCGTGAATTCCTATACGTTCAAGTGGCCTCAAAGGTTAGCACATTTGCCGTGGAGCTGTGGATTTCTTGAGAGTTGCGTAATGCTGAAGACCTAAAAGGGCCACGCGTATGATACCCCGTGGAGAATTTGACGTACGACGTTCCTGTCGTACGTATCCCCACCGAAACCCCATATGGGGCCCGTAGAGCTGCAAGGGATGGCTAATGCCAGAATTATGCTAATTCCATGTCGGCTTCTTTTGCTCTTACCCTATACAGATTGCTTCTTAGCACATTGACGTAACCGTAATCGGGTATTGTTTGACATGACATCGATACGAATTTGAAAGAACACCTAGCTGATTTGAAATAATTCTTTAAAAGCCAATTTTACTTTAAAAAGCGCAAGTGAGGGAGTCTGGCACATCCGAGAACATTCGCATCAATCCCATATCAAACCTTGTTTCAAAGATTCCAAAAAGTAAAAAAATGGCTTGAGCTGATCTATACNGGAAAACAAAAAAGGTTGAAGCTCCTCATCCAGTAATCATTGATCGTTATCAACACGATTTCGAGATAGATTGACATCAATTTGCTTGGTTTTCGTGATGGGACCTTTTAGACAAAAAGCATACGTTCTTCTGAGCAGCCCCGATGGCCTGGTATGAAATCGTTCCTTTAAAAGGGCCAGCCATCCCGAACCGTCCCGAACAATAGTTTGCCATCATATTTATCATTTTGTTTGATACGCTTCTTACTAGAAGGGGCAATTTTATAAATTTTCCAACTTATTTTTGATTTTGATGGAACTCGATTCGCCACTTGTTCGATTGCCCGGAATGTCTATCACACTCTCTGAAATATGTCCTCCAAGCACCTCTATACAAAATGCCCGGTCAGAGTTATGGAGCTCAACTTCTTTAAGTAGTAATTGGGTTGATGGAAGTAAACTCATCAGTTATTCGCTGATTCTATAAATCGGTAGGAATAACATTCATGACCATAGCATTTGTCTAATCCTTCCAACGTTCTCAATCTCATCTCAGCAGCTACCTCTACGGATACCGTATGGTCAATCTAAAAGCACTAAGTAGTTAATAACTCGAGCATCTGTATTGACCGACATTTGCCGCTGTCTGCTCCCTCCGCAGCTGTAACACTACCTCGTTTCCGATTTTCGGTCATGCGGCATCTACCTTATCTACCGAGTCAGGAGGCCAGTCCTCGGCAATCACTGACCCGTATATGAAATTTAATTATGCTCAATCCTCCCTACAATAACATAGTAGAGAATGGCTGTATAATTGTAGGCCCGACGTGTTGCGTCTGTCCAATGGTCTCATGTCAATCTGGGTTTCTGTAATGATGAGAAAATCCGCAGGAATTGCGTAGTAATACAATTTGTACCTCGAAAGAAAAACAGCACTTGCGGGCTATACGGTTGTTTTGTCCAGGCTTCAAAAACCAAGCCGGAAAACGGAGTAAAGGGCGAACTGATAGGGTTGGGAAGTTCCATGCTTTAGGCTCTAACTCTATGGTAGGTGTAGGAAAACCACGAAATGGTAGAGTACCCTCATTTTCTATTTCTACTTCAGTTTGGGGTTGCTTTATTGCTCTGACTAGACCGGAAACAGGTCCCATAAGCCTAGCAATTTCGATGGAATTTAATATACTGGTAACAGAATGACTTTTTGCTAGGATTAGAGAGCAGTTTTCTTGCTCCGAAGGGTTTCACCTCCTCCCTATGGGTTTTTGATGGCTTCATAAGCTTTACTTGGAACCCCTTTATGAAAATTATGCTGTACTAAGAGCCCTTTAGGTGTGCTATCACAGTATTTCGCAATAATTTTATTTGGTAACTGCTTGACGCTACTAGTTATTCATTAGCAATCAGAGAAGGGTTACGTTTGGTGTAGCGACGTTTGGCCTAATCTGGGTGATTCATCATCCTCCAGTTGGCAAGTGAAAAGTCTTACCAGCGTGATACAACTGCCAGGGCAATATGGGAAAACACCCAGGCACTTAGTAAGACCTATGGAGAAGTAGGAATAGTAAGGGCCTAAAAATTGCTTGCTCGGTTGTGCATGATTAGATTCAGAATGACCTTAATAACACTGACGGGACGAAAAGTCGCAATGGCTTTCCGTTGTGATTGCTTACAGCTAGTGGTAAGTAATGGTCAAGACAGCACAGTTCAAAACATATTAGATTGGTATATAGCTTCCTGAATTTTCTGAATTCCTGTACTGTCTCAAATATAGTTGAAGTAATGCCGGGTATTTATGAAAGCCTTCAAAACTTCGGCAGCGTATCCTGTTTCTTCCTCTCACACTGTGCACTATTTAAATTACTACAAATTAACTGCAACTCAGATAAGGGAGCTAACTAGTGATCCACTCTCGGTCTATTGTATCTAGCTCTGAGATCATCACAACCCTCAGCTAACAATCGCTAAACCTAGTAAGAATAATCTACCTTCAACTCATGGTAACTAGGCTTGACCACCTTATTATTAGCCCGAACACTACAAATATGATATGCTTTAGCATTGCAAAGGGAGCTGGGTGATCAACCAGTTTTGTTCTGAGCTCTGTTACACGTACCAGTCAAAAGTAACTACGCAGTTACTGATCTCCATGCGCATACTAGTTCAGCAGAATTGTTTTTAGTGAGAAACCATTGTTTCTTCTCCGATCCCCATCAATTTGGTGGAATTTGTCGTCAAGTAACTACCAAAATAATGGTCTCAAAGTCCTCATTACAAGTTCAATAAAGTTGGGTTCTGACCGTATAGTTCCAAAATTTCTGACCAAAATTGTAATGATTTGAGCTCCATTCTTGGCTCATAATAAAGCTTACGGGAATCAGATGATGAACGACTCAGGCCTTCTTAATCCCCTTCCAAGTATTGCCTCGATCAAACCATAATCAGTAATCAGTCCTTGTTAAACTCATAATTTTATTTGTATTATAAAATTTCGATCCGACGTTTGACCTACCACTCGTGACTTGGTTTTGGCGCCATTTGTCAACGTCTTTCATCCGTGCAGGCATGTCCGTTACATCTTCACGAATTTCTCGTGGCCCCTCTCTTTTTACTTTTCTTTTTGTAACATCTTTAGGTAATGGTAGCAAAATTGACATACATATTCGCCTAGAAGTACTTATCCGGTCTTTCGCAAGAATGTGAAAGCCCTTCTCTAAGCAATTTTGAATTCTGGATCATTTAACTTGCCTATTGTAACTGTAGAAATATAAAAGTAATGTAGAACATTTCATATAACATTTCGTATCATCTCGTAGTACTTATTTGAAACATTTTCTTGAGCTTAAAATGTGATGAATTTCGATTCTAGCACTTTTGCGGAATAAGTAAAACTAGTCCTAGGTGGGTTCAAATTCAAATCCCGTGATTTGGATCAATATCCCTTGTATTCGTTCCTACTGGCTCTTCCCTCTGTTTCTATTACTCGTCCCAGTAATATGAAAGTGCTATTCTGTGTTGTTGGGAGTTTGTAAGTCACCCAACCCGCAATCAGGGCGAGGAAAATTTTTCAAAATTGGAAGAAGAGCGAGTGCACTTAGGTGATCCTCATAGTGACAAGGTACCCATCCTACGTAAAAACGCCGATAGTGGTGAAGCGGCAGAAATTCCGGGATTGTTCATGTGCGTCGATCATTTATTTGCTTATTTATTTATCAAATGTAGTCGTAAGTGTGCCATCACAGAAACCGCACTGCTCAAATTTCATAATCATACCAGTTGTTGAAACAAAGGCAGATAAATGTAGGAAACGTAGCATGTTGATATTGAACGATAATGTTCTCAAAAAAAGCGATGTCTACTAGACCACCGGATCTGGGTGATTCATCATCCTCCAGTTGGCAAGTGAGAAGACTTACCAGCGTGATAGAACTGCTAAGGCAATCGGATGTCGGGGAATGCATCAGGCAGTTGAAACATTTTATGATTTTTAGCATAATTACGGTTAATCACTCAAATCAGAGGCGGATAACGCTAAAAACTAACGAGACTCTTGTCCAAAAACAAATCATATAAGAAAAAGAATCTGAATTTTCGGATGTTAAGTAATCCACCCCCCCC